CAGCCATCAGCAGCAGGAACAGTAGCAGCGGCAGCAGCAGCAGTCGAGCCCAGTCACAGTCAGAGTCAGAATTCACCGGGCCATGCCCATATTCCAGTTAATAGAAACAACAAAGCCCCGTGTCGATGACAATTAGCGATTGGGCAACGCCGCTTTTTGACCCAAGCGTTCGACTTTGGGGGCGGCCGCACCTTCAACTATTGACGACTGTTTGGTAGAGCAGGCAAAAATATGTAGAGCATGCAGCGTTGCCATAAATTAAATTTAACACCAGATCGGCTGGCAACGATAGCAGCTGCCACAGCAGCAACAGCAGAAGCAGCAGCAGCGCTTCCTCGCCATGGCGACACATTTCTAATGGCAAGTGAAGCTCACAAAACACAAAACAACAATCAACAATGCGAAACTAAACGCTTCACTGCATCTATCTGCTCATAGTGTACACCTATCCAGCAGGCAACCAGCCAGTCAGCCAGCCAGCCAGCCAACCAACCCATCTATCTACCTATGTAGTATCTATCTATCTATCTGGCTGCCTACCTACCCAATACCCAATCCCAAAAAAATATAATCCGAAGCTGGCAGCTTTAATTAAATGCTCGTCTCGGCTAGAGATGAGAACATTAAAAGCTTATTTCGCAATCAGTGCGGCAGACAATGATTCATTTGTTCGTTTCGCCAGGTGAAACAATGCAAAAATGCAACGGCAAAACTAGAGAACAGAAAAAGTGTCTGTCTGTAAGGGGTGGGTATATCTAAAACTAGAAATACATAAATATCTATATGCATTAGTATATAGTTGATACCCTGTGTTAAATAGTCTCAGAGTTTTCCTTTTTTACATTCCACCCATCTTTCACCCATTCCAGTGAATGTTTGCACATAGTATTTGCAAAATTGCTAAAAGCATTAACTTATTTATTTAAAAACTAATGCTTGATATATAGTTAATAAGCAGTGTTAAAACGTTCTGAGATTTTCGCATTCTACTTTCCATCCATCTTTCACCCATTCTAGTGAATGTTTGCATAAATTTGCAAAATTTATTTGAAAACTAATAGAAAATGTTAGGTTAACACCTATTTTTAAGTACTCGGAGAATTTTGTTTTCTACTTTCCACCCATCTTTCACTCAATATAGTAAATTTTGTATATATTTCCGAAAGCGATATTTTAAAACTAATTGAAAATGCTAAGTAAATAGGTGACACCTAGTGTTAGGCAGTGTCAGAGTTTTGCTACACCTTACACTTATTTTGCATATTTAGGATATGATTTTGATAGATTTCCATTTCCCATTACTTTGTCTAAACTTAACGGATTTTTATAATATATGATTTTTCGGTTATGGCTGTACCTCTTAAGTAATTCTGTAAAATTTTTATAATTTTTGAGCCTACTTGCCGTGTTTTATGTATTTTATAGTTTTCGAAAAACACACAAGTTTTTTCAGCAAAATTTAAAACCTTAAAATGATGTCTTTAATTAACAGCAATTTGTCCCAAAATTGGTATAAAATCTCTGTCAAGCTTAAAAAATATGTTAACTTCTTTTTGAGGTAAGCTAAATATTGTTGAAATACTTCTGATTTTAATTGTTTATCAAACGTAAACAAATAGTATATGTACATATGTATAGTGGATAACCTTGTGAAATAGCTATTACTGAGGCTCTTCAAAGACAGTAGCCAGTCGGGGAAGTAGTTAGTCTTTCTGTCACTCAGTCATTCTGTCAGGCAATCATTCAGTCAGCCAGCCACCGAGTGGCGTTGTTTTGCGTCCAAGGAAAGTCCATCAAAGTGCCCCCCAATCGACGTATCGTTTTGCGCTAAACGCGTGAAAAATAATAAATAAATAATTGAAAAGAAACAACAACAAAGAGCGAAGCTCAAATGCACTTACGAAGCTTTAAATAAAAGATAAAAAGTTTCAGTTTTAAAGAACTTTATAGGTGACTTTGGATTTTGATAAAATCTGACTATGAAAACATTTATTTATCCAAGGAATTGCCAAAGCGTTAATTTCAAATATCTTAAGCCTGAATTGAATTATGGGTTAAAAAAGTATCTGTATCTAAGTTAATATCTTTACAGCTTCGTCTTAGCTTGAACTATGCCACCCATTCTCAGATAGTAATAAATAACTCTGGCGCCATCATAGAGTATTTCACTGTTTGCCTAGATATAAACATACATATATAAATACATGTATATATATTTGTAAAATCCCTGCCTCTGACTCCGTCATAGATAGCATCGTAATGTATCGCTTTGCGCTTTGAATGACGCGTATCATTGGCAATTAAATTAAACATATACACAGTCATAAATACAAACAACAAGCACACACACACACACGCACACAGACACACATCGAGATACATTTTACAATGTCAAGCGCTGCGCACTACATAAGTATCTACAACTGCTGTGCGTATCTATAAGTGTGCGCTCGCCTCTGTGTATCTGTATCTGCAGCTGTATGCATGCATGTATGTATGTATGTGTATCTATGTGTGGAAGTCGTCGAGTGATTTTTCGCCAGTGACATTTTAATTGCTGTTATGTTTTATTGATATTCAAAAACTACAATTGCTAATTGTTTTATTGTTAATTTTTTTTTAAATGCTATTTACTTGCCTTCTGAGTGGCAGCTTAATAGCCAATTTTAAATACCATCTCACACAATTAGCTCGATTATGGCCACTTCATTAGTGGCCAGTTGTAAACGTTATTTAATAATATTATTTAATATGCATCTAAAATAACAGCAATTGCAAACAACTCGCAACAACAATTTTTATAATACAATATAGTTGCATAAATAAAAATAATAAATTCTATTGCAATCATAAATGACTATTTGGTTTATAAAATGTAACACGTTGGGGCGTCCTCTTGTTATTTATTTGACTTGCTGTTATTTCTGGCATTCCATCCAATTTTATTATTGAATAAATATATGAGTGGAGATTCTCTAAACGTAAAAGGTAATACAGGTAAGTTATTCAATGAAGTCGAAGCTCGCTTTGCGGTATTCTTTGATGAACAAATACTTAAGAAGCCGCGAAAATCGGAACTCAAGAATTTTAACGCGATAATAATTGTAAAAGATATACATACTCATCTTAACCAACATAATTTAACATATACGAGTTATCATAGGTCTTATATGCATTTACATATAAATCTTAAAAAAAAGACAAAAAAGATTAAATACTAGACTCTATAAAATCCGATTTTCGATCTATTCATCCCATCGCAGCTGTTGAGATATATTAGTTGGATGCTAATGATATTTTCTTCATATTTTAGGGACAGAATTTCATAAAAGAACCAAAGGACTAAAGAATTAAACTAACCAATTTAAAAAATGAGAAGGTACGGATATCTTTGACACGCTGAATATTTGATACCCTTTTAGAAATGTCAAGATGATAGCTTCAAAATTGAGAGACAAGTTTGCTTAGAAACAGACAGACGAACTGACGGACGGACATAGCTATATAAACTCTGCTGCTTATGCTGATCTAGAGTATATATATTTTATGGGGTCGGATGTCTCCTTCTACGCGTTACTCATTTCATGACAAAATTATAATACCCTCTACAAGAGTATAATACATATACATATACATACAACTCCGATCTAGCCGACTTTGGAAAATGCAGCAATATTTAAGTAGCTTAAGTCGTCGAGTGCATAACAAATTAAAACGTAAAATTCTGGTAGTTCTTATTTGCCAAGCAACCTTAGTTAATTATCTAAACGTATGTTCATGTTTCATGGACTTAATTTTCTGCACATTTCTATGAACAAAGCATTGCCAAGTGCACTTGTAAAATAAGTCCCGGGGCCGGCTGGCAATAAATTTCTTTGTTTTATTCTTCATGCCAATGTAATTGACGGCTTTCGTTTATGAGCTAGTCAAACATTTTAAATAGCAAAATCTCAATTACGTAGTTTATCATTGAATTAAAATTGACTCGCAGCTGCTGCTGGTAAACACTTGAACTGTCAACGCCAACTACCAGCTGGTGAACGGACGGAACGGAAAGAGGGGGAGAGGAACTGCCATCAGCTGAGACTATTTTTTCTTCGGGCGCTCCACTTTGGACAGTTGCCGCCGTTGTTTGTCGCTGACGGAACGTGCACAACAACTTAAAAAAAATGGACGTCATCAGCTCAATGGTTATGGCATTTCCGCACCTGACGTCCCCAATGGCCGACAGCACCACCACCAACAGCAGCAGCGACAGCAGCAGCAGCGACAGCAGCAGCGACAGCAGCAGCGACAGCAGCAGCGGCGACAGCGGCAGCAACAAAATGGTCTGTCCATCTGTCTATCAGTCCGTGCGACTCTTCTTCGTCTGAAGTGCGTGCTTGAGTTTGGTTTTTTGCCTTTGCTTTGCCATACTCATACTTCTGCTGCTTCTTTGCCTTGCCTTCTCCATCTACTTTGGCTTCTTTTGCTGTCGATTTGCTTTGGTCTCTTGCAGTTTGCGTTACGTTCTTTCATTTCTGCTTGTGCAATACACTCTCACACACACACACAAACACACACACACACACACATATATACGCACACACACGCATACACGCATATACAACGTAATACGTAATTTCTATGACACTTGTCCGTGCTGCCACTTGTCTTCCACTTTATGTGGTCGACGCCACAGCCGCTGCCACTGCTGCTGCCGCTGCCGCTGCCACGCCGCTGGCGCCGCCCTCATTGACTGGTAACTAACCAAACACCTCAGCCACCGTTTGCGTTACGCCCCCCTTACCGCACGAACAGACCGAAAAAAGACAAACAGCTTGTATAGCTTTTTATCAGCTTAACGAAACTTCTACTCCCTTGCGGTGCATAGCGCAATAGATCACATAAAAATGTTAGCTGTTTACACTTGCATAAAAAAATTTGCACAAATTGTTTTCTTTTTATGAACTTTTAAACTACTGTGTTAAGCTTTAGTGTGAAAAGAAAACGGACAATACCTGATAGTATTCCCATGAGCTCATGCCTGCAACGAAATGGATGACTTTTTGTGATACCTTTCCAAACTTAAAGTGTATTCAATATATAGAGAGACAGACACTTCAATTGATTATTGTCCGCACTTGGTTGTTGTTCTTGTTGCTGCTTTTGTGCAAATGATTTGCATTTTGTGCTTCACATAGTTGTTCTTGTTATTCCGCTCCTTGTCTTCTGCTTACTCTTCTTCTTGTACTTCTTGTTCTGCCTATTTAGCTGGCTTTGGTTCTCGCCAAACCCGAGCTCGCAGCTTGGCTTTTGTTGTCATTTACACTTTTGATTTCATTTGAAGTTTTTCGTTTTCGCTTTTGCTTTGCTGTTGTTGTTGTTGATGTTGTTGTTGTCGGTTTCGCTGCGGCTCATTTGTTGTTTTCTTCACTTTTGTTTGACTTGTCGTTGCTGCTGTGCATTCTGCGAGTTACTCATTTGGTTCTGTCCAAAAAAATAAAGAATACATAAGAGAAGGTAGCATCACTTATTGCTAATCATCTGTATGTTGGTTAGGGGCACGGGGGCCCGCGTGCTTGGCCTTTTGTGTCGGGGGGCACATACAATTCGCAGCCCACACAAAGACGATGATGCTGCTGCTGATGATGATGATGATGATCATCCAGCCATAATTGTTGGCGGTCCGCTATCTATCGCGTTAGCTTTTTCTCTCTCGCTCTCTTTCTGGTTCTAAGACTATTCAGAGGCACGTCAAGACCGCACACTCAGATTAATTACGGCAACTGCTTTGGGACGGACTTGGATCTGCCGGGAAGGTCGCCATCCAAGTCGCCATGAAGTGCATTTCATTTATTTTATAAATTATCGCCACGAATTGTTCATGTGAAACGGCAGCAAGTTTGCGAGCTTTTCCAGCGGCAGCCCAGGGGGCGGGGGTAGATCGGACATGTAACAACTGTATGAGACAATATTGTAGCTCTGCGCAGCGCAACAGCGCTACCTCCCGCAGTCCACCTTCCACCGCAACGGCTAGTCAGCACCAAGCCGCCCACATTTAAGTCCGCCATTTTTTTGCTTCCGCCGTTTGCCTCGTGCATCTTAATTACTTTTGTTTTTTCCCCACGCCTCTCTCACTTCTTCTCTCTCTTCTTCTCACACTCGCGCTGTCCGTGTGTGCGAGTGCTGAAAATTTCCAGAGCCCAACGAAATTCAATGAAAAATACTTATTCAAATAGCAGCAACTACTGAGGCAGCAAAGAAGGCTGTAAACGAGCTAACACAAGCAGCAGATACAACAACAACAACAACAGCAACAACAATCTCACAGATACATTTGTGTTGGTTTTTGTCGAACGCTTCGCTGGCTGCTTTGCACTTGAGATTCTTATCGTTGGCTGGCCCAAGTTGATTTTGATCTTTACAATGCATTATGCAAACAGAGAGTGCGATAGACGAAACAGAAGAATAAGAGAGAGAGAGAGAGAGAGAGAGAGCGCCCACATGCTCGCTCACATTCTTCATCTCCCTGTCTCTCCCTCTCCCTCTCTCTCTCTCTCTCTCTCTCTCTCTCGCAAATATAGTTTCGATAGCATTTAACTTTCATAGTCTGGCAATTTGTTGTGTTCGCCGTTTGATGATTGTTTCTCAAGAACAGTTCTATTTGAGTTTCGCCCGCTGGGGGAAAAGCCAAAGCCGCAACAGCATTGAGATTTGGCCACATAAATCGTTCCCTAGAAGAAGTCCAACTTGGGAGTCTGAAGTGCACAGTGCTTAAGTCTCATTAGAGATACTTTAGTGTCAAGTCTGTTCGACTCCAGAGTCCGAGTACGAGTACGAGTCCGGGTGTGAGTGTGAGTGCGAGTGCGAAAGCGAGTCGGAATGGTGGCCTGACCTCGCTTTGACTTGGGTTTTATAAAAGACGCAGATTAGTAATGCCCTCAAGAGTACACATCTAAATGTGTATCTGTGTGTGCACGTGTGTATCCGTGTGTGTGCGCGCTGTAATGTGTGTGTAAGTAGCAGCACAAAAGTGTCAGCTTTGAGATTTAAGAAAGCAGCTCAGCGCAAAGAGGCGCAAGAAAAAGCCAGCGTTAAATTAGTGGCAATTGTGCGCGACATGAAGTAGCCCAGCAGCCACACTGTGGAGAGTGCCACACACACACACAAGCACACACATACTCGCACACTGACACACACTCATTACTATTTATTTAGTTGGCTACGAATACTTGTGTATCTGCAGCTGTAAGTGCGAGTAAGCGCGCAGAAATTGTGTAACTGTAACATCAAGTGGCCGCCATTGTAAATGGCCAGCGATTTGTGTGGCCAAAAGGAAGTTGCACCATTCAGTGGCACAGTTGTAACATACATGTGGCAGACATTTGCGCTATGCGTCTCATAAGCACTCAAGCGACATTAACTAGCTGGAACAGCTCTCACAATAACATTGCCCGAATATGTGGATCAATAGCGATAAAAGACATTTCGTATAATTCGTAGTTGACAATTTATATCTATAAAGAGCGCAGTTCACTCACCGAATGTTTAACGCATTAGAAGACCCATTTCCGAATCGATAATCAACATAAATATTCCTTAAACACATAAACAGCCAAGACGATATAGTATCTTAGTCTTGTGCAAACTATATATCCTGCTAAATTCTTGCATATATTCATATGTTCACTACATTCAGTATAATTATCGTTCAGAGGTGGCCAGACTATATCATGTGGTCAGGTAAGATATCTATAATAAAATAAAATAAAATAAAAGTTAATTTTAAAAAATACAATCTAATATAAATTAAAGTATAATATCGAATGGTTAAATTATATATTTATTAAAAAAAATAAAGATATATTAAAATATAATATTTTAACAAACTATACTTTTGAGGCAATCTTTATTCAAATAGATTTTTTGTTAAAATACTTTATCATAGAAACAAAAGCAAATAACAAGAAGATTCTAATCGGGAGTGTCCGACTAGGGCAAGTAAGATACTTGATCAATATATACGATTTTAAAAGTTACATGTCAAATTTGGTGACTTTAGCTCTTAAGAACTCTAGCTCAGAAAACAGAATTTCGATATCGATTTTTAAGGATTTCTTGGAAACGACGAAAGTTATCGATTAACAGAGACAAGCTCGTACTACGCGGGCACTAGAAGAACCTACGTTTGGAAAGGTAGCTCTATAGGTATCTAGCTCCTATAGGTTTCGACGGACGGACAGAGGTACGGATCGCCTCGACTATTGATGTGGATCAAGAATATGTATATTTAATGGAGTCAAAGGTGCTTTCTTCTGCCTGTTACATTCATTTGCACAAAATCATCATACCCTTTTTACCCCTTTTCAATAGATTTTTGCTTTAAAAATCTGCCTATCTTTGCAAAAAATAAGCTAGTGCTGCCAATATTACGTCCATATTTGATTTGTCTGCCATGTCGTAACTCCCTTGGACTCTTAATCTAGCCACACATGAGAGAATATCGCATTTCAGCTAAGGTTAGCCATAAATGCAGCCACTGCGCGTATTATCTGCTGAAGAGGTGCTGCCCCTGCGGCAGGCTGTGTGGGTTCTGCGTTCTTGTTGTTATCATCACACCAGGTGCTCGTGATAGGCAAGGTTTGGCTGCGTGGACCACAGACATAGCTCGTGTACAAATAAATTTATGGTTAATAGCAGACAGCCCTTTTCTTATGGACCTAAAGCCCGTGCAAGAGTGCCAAATGGCTGACATCTACCTTTTTTTTTGTGTACCTTAAATCCATTGAAAATGTGTTAAAGGGGTATGACGGTTTTTTGCAAACGTGTGTAACAGGCAGAAGCTCGATCAGGAATGACTCGATCTGGGCAGAACAGGGTGAACACGATCATTACTTGGCAACTGTAAGAGATATATACACCAAAGTTATCGTGTAGTATATACCAAAATATTTCCCTTAGCCCTCTTCCGTTATCACAAAAATTAAACGAAAAAAATTAAATAAAATACGTTATTTTAAGGGGTAGATTTCCGTGCATTGGTTCATGCGTATGTTTGTGTTTAATATTAAACCCCTGAAAGTTTCAGCTAGATCGGACTGTAAGCACCGAAGTTATTCAAGAGAGGGTGAACCAAATGGAAGAAGAAGCTGCTTGTGAAGTGCATGCTTATGTGTGTGGTTTTTTGTATATATACAAAGAGAAACTTCGAAGGTGTTCAACGGCAGCTCGACATTGAGTTCGAGGGGTATCTGCCATTCGGGCACGCCCAACTGGATTCATTTTTACTTGTTTTATTTTTTGGGCCGTGGTGGTTTAGTGGCTTGATAAGCCAGTTGGTCTGTTCCCGTTTCGTTTGCCTGGCGTGTAGTCAGTCTTATCGCAGAGCAGCCTCACAGATACACAATGCAAATATTGGTATCAAATTGTAGCGCCTTGGCTAAGAAACAGTTTGCAGAGCTAATAGACGTCGGTCGCGCCGTTTATGAGTCTGTCTGAAAAGTGTGCTGAGTATATGTAGGGTGTGCCTGCGTGTGTGTGTGTGTGCGCGCGCCGAAGAATGCCTTTTTGCATGCCCCTCGCCATTTGGTGGCTCTCGTCTGCTGACCCAAAAAAAGAAAAAAGTTTAAAAAAAGCCAAAAAGCAGACAAATTAAACAAACGTTGGACCGACATGAAACGAGTCAGCAAGTCAGCCAGCGCCTTGAAGTGCCTACAATGCCTGCCCCGCCCTGGCTCCGCCCTGCCATGCCCTACCCCTCACCCCACAGCAACTTCTATTTCTGTGGCCAGCCACTGGCGTCATCAGCATCATCAGCATCAGCATCATCATCATCATCATCAACGTTGGCGTCGGCGTCGGCATCTTCGTTCTTCTGCATGAATTTGTGTAAATCTTGAGCAGCAGCAGCCAGTTGCCACAGTTGCCACAGTTGCGTCTGATTGCTGATTGCTGGGCTGCCCGCCTGTTGACTATTGCACGTAATTCGTGCCACAGCCGCCACTCGCCGTGGCAGCCTTTTTGTGGACAGAAAGCAGGCCAACTAATAAAGTTGATGCACTCTCATAATGAATACACAATTGAATGTGGTTATGCGACCTGACGACAACTGAGCATCACATGATATATCTGACTGTGCTATACATTTAGATATATGCATATAAATATGTCTATATCTTATGCAAATAGGTTTTTTTTTGTAAATATATTATTGGATTATTTCTTAGTTCATATTTGCACATGCAATTTTATTATTTAAGAGATATACCAAATTATAATGCAAAAGCTAGCGAAAGAATTGAAAAATAATCTTTTATTTTTTTGGTTTGCAGCCGCATCGAAAATTGGCTTCGATCGAACCATGAATTGAACCAGCAACGTTTTTTTGTTGGCTTGCAGCCCCATAAGAAATTGGCTTTGATCGAACCATGAATTGAACCATCAACTTTATTTTTCTTGGTTAGCAGCCGCATGGGAAATTTACTTGGATTGAGCCAGCAACTTTTTTATTGGATTCCAAATTTGTATTATCCCTTAAAATTCGAACTTATTTCTTTTTAAATTATGCCTTTTAATGTGAACTAAGTCCGAGTGCATGCAAAATGATTTTATTGCACGACTTTAAACGCAGCACGGCGAATCCACAAAGGGAAGTGCTTCTGCCTTTCACAGGCTTGCTTAAGCGCAGGACAGTTTGCATTGAAGGATGCGTTTTTTTCCCAACCGCACAGCTGCTCAGTTGGAAATTCCTTTGAGTACGCGACGACTTCCTGGCTGCACACAAAATCCTTTATACAGCGCATTTCCACAAAAACGAAAATGTATATTTAAGAATTTAAAATCGAAAAAAGAAAACTTTAATTAAATGAAATCCTTTTTATACCCTTGCGGAGGGTATTATAATTTTGTCGTGAAATGTGTAACGCATAGAAGGAGACATCTCCGACCCCATAAAGTATATATATTCTTGATCAGTATCAACAGCCGAGTTGATATAGCCATGTCCGTCTGTCCGTCTGTCTGTTTCTATGCGAACTAGTCTCT